TTCTCGAAGTGCAAACCAGACCCAATTTAAAGTTTGTTTGATAGCACAATAATCATCATTGTGTGTTGTATCTGAGTACTTCTGATGGTGTGAGACAAGCTGTCCGGAGCGCAGACAGGCAGACGTCTGTCGGCATTGTTGCCATAAGGTTGCAGTCTCTCTGGTGTTGGCTCAGAGCTGTGATTAATTCGCCACACATAGGATTCAGGATGTCGTCCTCCCCCAGTCACTGCCGAATGAATGCATTTCTCTCATTCCTATGTATTGTGCTTTTAACCACTCGTTCCCCCCAAGGTATGGCTCAGGTTTCCCTTCCTTTTCACACCTGGTGACTCAGTGACAGGGAAGTCTGCCCACCTGTCCCCATCATCGTGCTTCTTCCTAGGGGAGCTTGGCGGCTCCACCGTGGAAGTCGGAGCGGCTGACCTACTGTATATTTGCCTGAGGAAATGTCTTGTCTATTCCTGCACATGAGGAGGTTTAGCATTCCTGTTTACCCTCTTGGCTGACAACTCATTTGTTCGAGCTTGGATGGGGATATATTTTTAAAGGCCTCTGGCGTTCCGATCGACCTTACAAAATAGCTTCCCACAGTTTAATCTTCAGCGCAGAGCGAGGATTTGGCCGTGGAAAGTGGAAGAAAGAGAAACAAAGAGCCAGGAAGGAGGGTGGAGGATAACTCCGGAAAAGCTCATGGATATTTAATTCGCACTGGGGGCCCGACGTCTTGTGTTTCAGCTTTGCGTATTGCGGGGCTTTACATGAGTGTGTGCAATACGACCTTACTTATATCCCTCTAGCCCTCACGCCTCTGTAACTCAAACCTAAGCTGTGAATGGGAGGAGTGCTGTGTGTCATCTCTGAATCTGGCAGGAAATGAGTCGAGTAAGCCACATTCTTCAACCCCTAATCAGTCTAGTTCATCACTCAATTAGAGTGATGGCTTGTGTATGCAAAGTCTGAATTGACTGTACGAGGCCTGAGAAATTAAACATAATAAAATCATAATCGCAACATGGCTTAGATTGGTAAACAAATCGCAAGTTGTGCATATTATTTAATTAAATACATCCACTGCATTGCAAAGTCAGGGCTCGACAATAAGGACGGCCCGATGGCCCGGGGATCAGCGTGAAAGACGTTTGGGACAGTAGATGGATTTGTCACTTGCCCGATCGGGCCACTGCAGCGTCGTCACGACATTTTATCATTTGCAGGACATTTTTAAGACTTGTTAATTAAAAAATTCAAGCGATTAAAAAGCATTTGGGCGCTAAAGACAACTCCTTTCAGTACTCGCGCGCTGTGTTCTGTGTGCACAGACAGCCGCGAGCCAACTGAACGGGCAAATACATACAAAAGTATGTCAAAATACCCATCCTGGCAAGTAATTTTGTTGCTTTAACAATGATTAATCTATATTGCATTTATACACTGGAGTACAGATGCACCGATCTACCGGACATTTTTTGTTTTATTTCAGACTTCTTATTTAATCTTCTGTTCTGTGCTTGCACACAAACTGCACTGCAGTCATTTTCCCAGTGGCCATTTGTGTGGAAATATTACGTTGTTATTATTATTATTATTATTATTAAACTTAGTCTGTAAACGGCCGTTAACAGAGGCCAAAGATGCTGAAGACGGATACAAAGAGGAGAAAATACTGTAGCAGAGAGAACAAGATCACTGTTCACGATGCGCGAAATATAGGAACAAAATCCAAACATTGAATTTTATATGAATGTGTTTCTGAGGGGAACGGAACTGACTGTTTTCAGAAATGGCGTTTTCTTTTTATTTTGTCTCTGTCTGATGAATTTAAATTAGTGTTAATACACGCAGCACTGCTGTGTTTACAGCGGTAACCAAGGAAACGCTGTATTACTGTACCATAAGCGCCGCCTGCTGTCAGAGAGTGAATCTGCGTCTCATTCAGCCCACCTGCTTTTTCTGTTTCATACAGATGTTTTATGTAGCATAATTTCACAAAGCTAAAGTCAGGTTATGTTGTTTTTGCTTCAGATTTTGAAATTGTACAGTCTAATATAAATCAAACATTGTACTTTTTTATTTATTTCATGATTTAAAATGCAGTGGTCAAGTTGCAACACAGAGTGAAGAATATGCAAATGTTATTTTATGTGATTTTTTCAATTTCTGTACCTAAACATCTACAAACAAAAACCTAAAGCATTTAATTTCTATTTTTGTACTATAGGCCTATATTTAATTGTATATGTAATTTGCTCATTTGTTCTTATTTACTGGCTGTCACTTGTCTTTAATAATGTTTAAACTTTATATTTATGTTTATTTTTGGCTAGTGATATTTGCTGTGGTATCGAAATTGAAATAGAGAATTGTAAAATTTAATTGGTATCTAAAATGTTGGTGTCATTTAAGCTTATTTATTAGAATACAAGATAACAGATCAAAAGCCATGATAACAGCAACTATTTAATTTTTTTGTGGCAGGGCCAGTGAAAATATTGGCAGGGCAAGTAAACATTTTGAACCACTGGCCCGACCAGGCCAGTAGAAAAAATCCTTAGTGTTGATCCCTGAAAGTGAAGCCTGGCACTGTCTTCATTTACAGACGTGCAGCTCATAACAATGTTTTTGGTGCCTCGAAGTGGCTCAGTTCACTTTAAATGCAGTTTTTTATTTTTTATTATTAAATATGCATTTGGGAATGTAATGTAATTTGTAATGAGAAGCATTTATACAACCAAAAAAAATTTTGAAACCCAACATAGTTGTAACCTGTTTCCAACCTGTTTTCCTTTGGTTTTCCACCAAAATGAAAGTTAGATGTTTTAATGTTTGAAAATGAAGAAATTGAGGCATGAATATTAGTGTTACATTACTACAGTTTAGTGCTGGGCGATAAATCGGTAATTATCATGGTATGTTCGATATAATGTAGGGATGTAACGATTACCGGTTTGACGATAAATCGTGATAAAATACCCCATGGTTAGTATTACCGTTTCATATTTTAATTATCACTATAACCGTATTCGATTACCGCGATTTGAACAACTGAGGATAAATAAATACTGTACTGCACAGGGCTCCAGTGTGCGACCAAATGGGCGCATTTTGCGGAAAAAATTTCTGCCGGTGTGACAATTTTGTGTGCGGTCGCACTGGCGCGACCACCGCATTGTTGTTGCATGTGAGAAACATCAAACGGCAAACGAAACTGAAAGCATAACGAAACTGCGCGACTCGTTTGAGCTGAGTTGCGCTTCGAGTGTAGAGCCTGGTTTATACTCCCCGCGTCAGCAGGAGAGCGAAGCTGCATGCAGCAAAAATTACGCGAATATTGAGGAAACGATGGATGGATTTAATTCTAAAGTAAAGTAAAAGACCACTTCTTAAACCAAAGGTGAACATGTTGGTATTCTTGTGGGACAAAAATATGCAATAAATGTTTTATAAGCTAGTTTGTCATTGTATCTTACTGTTTTATTGTTGTTATGCTTTTTAATTAAGAATAACAATGAATCCATCTTTTGTTTTAGTCTTAAAAAGTGATAGGTGTGTAGATCAAAAAACGGACCGAATTAGCATGCCCTGCTGTAAATTTTGACCGGTTGATGAAAAACAAGCTTATGTGGATTCTACACATTTAAACAATAAGGTATCTAGTATTATTTATGGAGCAGATAAATACATATAATCATTTATTAATCAGTTATCATTTTGACTTGACCCTTTTCTTTATTTAAAAGCTGAAATGTGAGGTTTACCATTTATGAAACTTTTTCAAAGCTTTATTTGAACATTTACATTAGATATTTGAACATGCTGTTAGATAAACTGTTGTCAGTCATGTTGTCATTTAAAATCCGGACATCATTGGCAATGTTATTGTTTTAGTTATGCAAACAAAAACTCATTTTATTTGTTGTTTATTGATTTTAAATGTAAAACTTGGTGAAATGATTTGTGTGTCAGTACTTTTTGAACATCTCCAGCACATTTTAACAATACCGTGATAATACTGATAACCATGATAATTTTGGTCACTATAATCGTGATAAGAAATTTTCATACCGTTACATCCCTAGTATAATGTTTATGCGCCAACAGCGGAATGAAAGAGCACTACTCATTTGAACCACAACACATGGACCATTTATCCGCTCTGATTTTGATAATGAAAATAAATTTACATCTGCATCCTAACTCAAGCTACTACTACTATCAAATGTGCATTTCTAAGTAGGGATGCAGCGATTAACCGGTTTCGCGATTAACCACGCTTTAAAACGTCACGGTTAATTAATTGTAAAGGTTCCGCTAAACCGAGTGTTTCTGTTACACGGAACGGAACTGTTGCAGCTTGCGCAAAACGAAAAAAGTTACACTAGCGGTGCACCAGCTTAAAATGACGTGCTTATCAGAGGCACGGAGGCTACTACATGCATTAGATGAACTGTGTCCGAGGAACCAAACAGCGAAGCTTTATTTCCACCAGAGAAATGCCTGTCGATAGTGTGGGACCATTTTGGGTACACCAAGAATGACCAGGGTGTCATTTAAATATTGCTGTAAAAAAACTGCAGCTAAAGAGCGAATACATAAGGGATAATGCACGGCTAGCTGTACATTGAATGATTTTAATGCACGACGTGAAGACAAGAACCACCTGACGCGAAGCTACATCTCGTTAGCTCCGCATTCTACCGGCTTCAGATCAGAAAGAGATGAAATAGTGCGGTAAGATCACATTTATTTGAATTAATGAATTATAACATTTAGCTAATTGAATTAATTATTCGCGAGAGAGCGGTGTCAGTTGCCTGTGTGAATTAGCCAACCTGCGTCTGTGCATCTCTCCAGTAGGCTATTTAATCTATTTTATTAATAAAAGTCAGTTAATATTAGTCGTATATTAATAATAGGCTAATTCATTAACTCTGTTATTTACTATCCCTGTTGTAGTATTATTCATAAGTAAAAACCAACAATATATTTTTTTTCACCATGTTTCCAAATTCTCTAACCCAGGTCCAAAAGAAATGTAAAGAATGTACAAACTGAAAACATTAAATACTTTTGCGATCTATTTCCATTTGTTATTTTCAAAAGAGAAATACTGTCATGGATGTTTACAGAGCAGAGGTCACCTTTTTTAATTCCAATGGAAGAGATGGATTTTGTTTGTGTTTTTTATTATTATTTTGTGCTGTATTGTTGGTTACTGTGTTATTTCTGTTTCAAAAGCCAGCAATAAATAACACTTTAATATCTGAAGAGTGTTCATGTGATTTTATACATTAGTAATGTTGGGAAATGAATAAATGCATAATAATCGTAAAACCGTGATTATTCCTCAGACAATAATCGTACCAACAAAGTCTATAATCGTTGCATCCCTATTTCTAAGAGACAAAAAAGTAATATTATTATTAATATTATCAGGCAACACAAACCTGTTTCTTGATTTGAAACAATATCACTCATTAGATCATGCAGAAATTAAGATATTTATTTTGTTGAGAAAAATTTATGGTCTGGTTTCAACAACTTTTACTTTGGAGCAAAAATCTGGCTTTAATCTTGAAAGAAATAAAGATTAGAAATTTGTGATAATTATCAATATCAACTGATATGTAAAAAAAAAAAAAATTTTTTGGCCATATTGCCCAGCCCTACTACAGTTACTACTGTAAAATAAAATTATGATTGCTGCTTCATTTTTTTTTTTTTTTTTACTGTGAAATCAGTAATAGTAATATTAGTATATTGGTAATATTTCCATTACTTTATTTACAAAATTAATGATAAATTTATTATAAACTACTAATTTGTGCATGAATACAAACTATCAGTAAACCTGAAGCCTTTAAAAAAAACACACACATTTTACATTGCAGTCACATTTTTCTTTCCATAAAATCGCAATTCTTCTTTTCTCAAAACTTTTCAGCTCTTACACGTACAAGCAACATGCATAATAAGGAATTGAACAATAGCATCTTTTTGTCTCATTACTTCTAAGTCCATAGTATCGTGCTTCAATAATCTGTCATTTGTTTTATTTACAGTCTAGTTTGAATTTTTCTTTTGTTCAGAGACTGAGCTGAACCTTCATTTATCCAAACCATTTTCAGAGAATGCTGAAAATTCGCCATCACAAATGCTCGACTCCAATGCATCAGTAGCAAGTGAGCTTCTGCACAGAAACCCACGTTAAATAGACAGGGATAACACTCTCGCTCTTCTAACTGTGCCCCTGCTTTGCATCCTCCACCGCTGCTCATTGGATGCTCTGCTCATTTTGAAGAAGTGTAGAGATAAATAACCGTTGGCTCATATTCTGGTGAGTTACACCATTGCGTGTCAGCTTTACAGTGCCCCCCCATGCTTTAACCTCATATATCAGCAAACTACTTGCCTTGCAAACAGCTGCAAAACCCGCCTGAGACTCATTCCCATCTACTGAGTAATGTTCTTTTGGTTACACATGTGTTCTTTTGCTAATTAACTGTGTGAACGGTCTTGTGGCTTGTGAACCAGCTCTTCGCCGTTACGTCAGGTAATGCAGTGCTTTTTATTAAAGTCAGGGAATAAGTGGGTGGGAAACTAAGAATAGAGCCTCTTCTGTCTCCCTTGCAACCCACCCTCATCAGTCACTACACCAGCTGTCCTAATGCAAGATATTGAAGACACTCTCCGCTGACTAGCAGAGATGGTACTGTCTGGTTTTAAATTGGCAACTGAGTACCAGATTTGTTTATCATGCACAATTGAATTTCGATGGTTTCATGCTCTTGCTAGGCAATAATTAATTTCATAAACTTGCCAGTCTGGTGAAACCACGTTCTTGTTGCAAGCAACTGTTTTTATTGTAGTCTGGCTCAGATTTACTTTTTCCTTGTGTAGTTTTGTTTATGGTTTTTGAGGATGCATAGAGGATGCTATGAATAAGTGTTTGCAGGAATCACCCAAGTTATAATTGCACAACTCGCAGAAATCAATAAAATGATGCGCAATCCTGCACTGAAATTCAGGGCCTATTAATACTTATTTCTATGCATTTATAGGTTTTCATACATTTTTCCAGTATCTGATGAGGCAGGTCCTCTAAATAAGCTTGCTGTCAGATTGGCTTCTGTGAGGCGTTGAATTTTGTGAAAGTCAAGCAAACCACATGTACGAGAGAGACAAATCAAACCTGCTGATTCACTCTCTTTCACAGGCATGCTGGGTCTATGTCATAGTGTTGGCACAGTGTCAGTCACTATCCAATTATGATATGGTGAGTTGTGATTTATCACAATGCATCAGATAATACCTTCTGCAGATGGAAAACCGAATAAAACTAGAGGAAAATCAGTTGCACTTATGAATATCGTATTGGCTTATAGGAGTTTACAGCCACCACAAACAGTTCTGATTCCCAGCTTGTAGTTAATGTTTTCGAGCTGCTAATCCTCTGTAATGAAATGGTTAAAGGGGTCATATGATGCGATTTAAATTTTTCCTTTCTCTTTAGAGTGTTATAAGCTCTTGGTGCATAAAGAAGATCTGTAAAGTTGCAAAGACTAAAGTCTCAAATCCAAAGAGATATTCTTTATAAAAGTTAAGAGTCAGCCACACCTACCTAAAACGGCTCGTTCTAACACGCCCCCACATACCTACGTCACTATCTGGGAAGATTTGCATAACGCTGCCCAAATGTTCACGCAAAGAAAGAAGGCGTAACTTTTTTTCTCGCTGTAGTATTGTTGCCGCCGCTGCCATGTCGTGAAGGCGCTGTGTGCTTCGTTGTGAAAGCAAAACTACTTTGTTTGGCCTTCCAAAAGAGGATATCGCTTCCAAATATCGCTTCGTCATGCCTGGAGCTGATCCGTGCTGTTCGCTGAGGAAATACTTAAACTTAGCTGTGGATCACCAGATCGGCTTTCACTGTGGACGAAGCGGAGTCCAGCCCGGGGTCGTCACATGTGGGTGCCACAGGCATCACAATATGATAAGGGACGTAACATTTCCGTCACACGTTTGAGGAATTCGGCCAATCACAACGCACTGGATAGCTGGCAAATCAGAGCACACCTCGCTTTTTCAGACCGATGAGCTTTGTAAAAATGACGCGTTTCAGAAAGGCGGGGCATAGAGGAGAAACAATAATGTACAGTATGTGGAAAATAATGTGTTTTTTGAACCTTAAACAGCATAAACACATTTCATTACACCAAATACACAAAATAATGTTATTTTTAGCAGCATCATATGACCCCTTTAAGATGATGGATGATCTCCCATGTCTGATAACACCATACCAGACTGTTTGGCCTCCTGTCAAAGGGCTTAATGAAAGTGCACGAGCAATGCTGTTTGTACAGCCCCGGGCAGATCTCCACGCACAGCACTGGGCAAATAACACCTGCCGAACTCGCTGCTTTTTTACGTGTGCGGCGGGGTTGTTTGTCAGTTTGTGCAGCTGGGCGGCAGGAACTCTGAAGTGTTGTGCATGTTTGTTCTGCCTGTCACCCACTATGATTGGGCAACGGTTAAAGCAACAGGATAAACCCTCTTTAAAAGCCCTACACCGTGTACTGCTCTTGAACTTCATATAGAGGAGTTCTCGGCCAGCATTTGAGAATAGCACTCATGTGTTTTCCTGTTAGTAATTGTCATATGATCTGTCATACAGCTTCATTTCAAGATTTTTGTCACCAAGTTTTGTCTGGTTTTCTTCTGTTTTAAAATCATTGCTGTGTTGACTAAACTTATAGATCCATCATGTGCAGAAATATCTTTCAACCTGAATCAGCGAGAAATATATAAAACTATGTATTTTTAAAGCAATCAGCTGGTTTCACCGGTTCAAACGTTTGGGATCTGTAAGATTAGTTTTTTAATAAGAAAAATAATATTTTTGTTCAGCAAAATTGGCTATGTTTACATGCACAATTTTTGGTTCAGTCAGACTGAATTCATTCCGATCGATGAATCTGAATGTAGTGTTTACATGAATGCTATATAAAGTGCACGGTTGATGTGCACGTTTATATGTCATAAGCTTCAAATCGGAATAGATTTTTTTTTTCATGCGCACACTGCACAAATAGGCCTATAGAGTTTCTCACTGTTTGCACATATTAACCACTCTTCTACACTGTTTATTTATTTGTTTTTAACAGCAGAATTAATATTTATCCATTTCAGGATAAATATATTTATAAACCGCTGTGTCGTGCTGCTTATGTTTATCACACAGTAAAAATGCTCTCCGTGCCCAAAACGGGTTTCCTGTTGATGAGAATCCGAAACAAGGACTGGTGGGACGTTGTCCTGCTCCACTTCACAGTTGTCGAGTGAAAGGAGAGTTTTATAATGACAGGACACGCATTTATACAACACTTTATTCAAAAGGAAGGGCCGTTCGTTTCACGCGTCATACATCATTACGCTATTCCTGCATCATTGCACATGCGCAGTCCTTTCAGTTTCGGGGTTCAATCCAATCGAGTGTTTACATGCTCTCTCAATCGTATTAGAAAAGGAATAAACCACCCCCTTCAATACGATCGAAAGTTCATTCCGATCGAGCTCAATCAGATCGATTAAGGTGTTTACATGAAGGCTGTTCCGTCCGACTGAGCCGTCAATCCGATTACAAACAGATTATTTGGTTGCTTGTAAACGTAGCTATTGTTCAGAAGTGACAGTAAAGACTTACAAAAGTCAAATAAAAGCTGTTCTTTTGAACTATTTTCACAAAAATATTAGGCAGCACAACTGTTTTCAACATTGATATTAAGAAATGTTTATTGAGCAGCAAATCAGCATATTAAAATAATTTCTGATGGATCATGTGACACTGAAAACTGGAGTAATGATGCTGACAATTCAGCTGTATTTTTGATCAAATAGCCTAATGTAGCCTTGGTGAGCATAAGTATGGGATCAGATTCCCGCCAAATGTATTGCAGTCACGGATAAAAAAAATAACAAGCGTGAAACCAAAATTTAAAAACGCAAGTAAAATTATATTGCACGAAATTAAATAAACTAAAGCAAAGTTTTCAGAATAGCAAACAATGGTCACGGATAAAAAAAATAACAAGCGTGAAACCAAAATTTAAAAACGCAAGTAAAATTATATTGCACGAAATTAAATAAACTAAAGCAAAGTTTTCAGAATAGCAAACAATGGTCACGGATAAAAAAAATAACAAGCGTGAAACCAAAATTTAAAAACGCAAGTAAAATTATATTGCACGAAATTAAATAAACTAAAGCAAAGTTTTCAGAATAGCAAACAATGGTCACGGATAAAAAAAATAACAAGCGTGAAACCAAAATTTAAAAACGCAAGTAAAATTATATTGCACGAAATTAAATAAACTAAAGCAAAGTTTTCAGAATAGCAAACAATGGTCACGGATAAAAAAATAATGTGTAAATCAAAAATTTAATAACGCATTAAAAAAAATAATAAGCAGGAATCAAAACTTTAAACGCATTTAAAATCATATTGCACAAAACTGAAATATTAATGCAAAATTATCTGAATTGCACACAGAATCATGTTTTCCTTGGTTATATTTCTCAGTTTTTTGTGCTCAGACATTTTCTGCACATTTTTATTTTTTGTATGCTTATGCTGTTTTTCCCTTCCCTCTTTATTCCACGTTCTGCGCTTTTTCTTCCAAATGTTGCGGATAGAGTTTCATGTAAATCAGGGTGGGCTTATGCGTCATCATTGGTCCACTAGTTCTAGATTGACAGCTCCTCTAGCCAATCAGTCGAAGAGGGGCAGTGACGTCACTCCAACGCGCCACATTACTGCCGATGCTCAGTGTTCTGTTTACTTGTACAGGTGAAAATGGACAACTGTCAGCTGGGAAACATCTTTCCATACAGGACACTGTTATATGTGTCTGTCTGTCACTGCTGTAAGCCTACCTTGGTTGCTAGTCATTTTGGTTTCACGCTTGTTATTTTTTTTATCGGTGACTGCAATATATTTGGCGGGAATCTGATCCTATAGATAAGAGACTTAACAGCAGTTAAGAGACAAAAACATTTAAAAAAAAATCTCACGAGCCCAAATTTTGAACAGTCGTGTAAATAGGAGACTTGTTAAATATTAATGCAAAATTATCTGAATTGCACACAGAATCATGTTTTCCTTGGTTATATTTCTCAGTTTTTTGTGCTCAGACATTTTCTGCACATTTTTATTTTTTGTATGCTTATGCTGTTTTTCCCTTCCCTCTTTATTCCACGTTCTGCGCTTTTTCTTCCAAATGTTGCGGATAGAGTTTCATGTAAATCAGGGTGGGCTTATGCGTCATCATTGGTCCACTAGTTCTAGATTGACAGCTCCTCTAGCCAATCAGTCGAAGAGGGGCAGTGACGTCACTCCAACGCGCCACATTACTGCCGATGCTCAGTGTTCTGTTTACTTGTACAGGTGAAAATGGACAACTGTCAGCTGGGAAACATCTTTCCATACAGGACACTGTTATATGTGTCTGTCTGTCACTGCTGTAAGCCTACCTTGGTTGCTAGTCATTTTGGTTTCACGCTTGTTATTTTTTTTATCGGTGACTGCAATATATTTGGCGGGAATCTGATCCTATAGATAAGAGACTTAACAGCAGTTAAGAGACAAAAACATTTAAAAAAAAATCTCACGAGCCCAAATTTTGAACAGTCGTGTAAATAGGAGACTTGTTGATTTGGACTTTGTCTAATTTTTTTTGCTAGAAAAACTGGCAAAACTCCATTGGTTACATTTTGACATTTTTGCTCTCCGTAATTAACAGAACAAAATATCCATCTGCTGTTCTGAGCCAATAAAATCCTCTCATGTGAACTAGGGCTGTGCGATATTGAAGAAAAATGCGATATGCGATACGATATTGCTTAAAGTGTGTAAAATCAATTTCAATTATATTTTAAAATATTAAAAAATGAAAATTATATAACCAATTTGTTTCACATTCTTTCTTGGAAAAGAAAGAATCACTACAACTTCTGAAAGTGACCAGCAGTGTTTTAGCATTACATAAAAAGTAATGTCACAATTTAGAAAATGTCATTTTAACATCAGTGTGAACAAACAAACAAAAAAAATTAATGACACTAATTTTATATCATTGTAACTTTGCTTTCCATACACTTTAAGTACTTCTTCATATACCACAGCAAAAACTATAGTCTGAGAAAGTTCAAACATGATTAAAGGCAAGTGAGCAGTCAGTAAAAAAAAAGAAAAAAAAGAAATGCACAATTTACAAGCATAGATCAAATAAACAGTAGTATTCAGATACAGAAATATAATAATTAAGTGTAAAATAACACTGCATAGTGTTCACTGTATGAATTAAATTTAGATTAATCTTTGTTAAAGACGTTTTGTTGTTTGATTAACATTAGTGACATATTCAGCAGCAAGTATTTATAGGCTGCTGTCCCTTTAAAACCGACTGCATGGATCCAGTATAATGATACACATCCGATTTCTTTCTCAGCTGTTTACATTCATTTAAAACATAACCGACTGCATTTATGAGAATGATCGTCGAGACGGGTACTATTGACATAATTCTGTGTGTGTATGTGTCTGTTCAAACATGAGATGCGAAAGACGAATCAATTCTGTGTTAGCGCGCCGTCTGAAATGCGTCTCTCTGTGTGTGTGTGTGTGTGTGTGCGCATTGCACGTGTACAGCAGAACTGAAGAGACGCTGTTGCTGTGCGCGCGCTTCAGGTGTGAGTCAGACAGCAAGACGAGACTGCAAAGAGTTGTTTTCTGCAACTTATTTCACTTAACTCTTTTTAACGTCAAGCAATTCTCTGCTATATGCGTCAAACTAAAACTTTGACCTTTAGCAATGTTTTGATTTAAGTAGCCTATTATTAAAATGATTCTGATATCGCACGCTCATGCGATATGCATATTGCGATATTTACATTTGCGATATTTCGATATATCGTGCAGCCCTAATGTGAACTAATTGGTTTAAATGGAGGGGATGTTACAGCCCTGACTGCCTGTGATGAAAGTTGTGTCTGACAGCAAAGTTTCTGCCTCCATTCCTCCTTTGTTTCCATGGATACAGATGTTGAAAGCTCCTAAAGGGAAGCTAGGGGTGGTAAAGCTTTGAAATATCTGCCTCATGTATATTTGATTACTCTGTGACTGCTGTAGCTACGCCTCTGTCGCTCCTGAGGGATCTGCCTCTGCTCTGTCATACCTGCGGACTTTGATCTGAGCCTCCTATGCATCGCGGCACCTCCACTTGGGTTATTGGTTGCCACAGTAACCAGTTATTGGGAGGTGATGGACAGCCTGGAGGCTAAAAGACATGATGGACTACGGAGCCACACACCCCCGCTCTCGTCTCTCCCTGTGAATGCTGAGATGAATTCCACAGCTAATGAGGCAGTGCCCTCCCCAAGTGATGGAGCTGAGTGTGGGTGCTAACAGAGGTATGCCGTTTGGCTCTTCTGTCCACAGCCATGAATTTCCAGCTCTCTGACCTTTTGAAGATCCTGTCCTCTCGGCTTATTATTAGGGCATAAACTATTCCGTGCATTAGGGCAGCATGAAACCTCAGCATAGACCAATTAGTGGCTGAGCTTGCATGATTCCTGTTTTATAGAAACTGGCTGCTTTTTCTCAACTTCAGCCGGTTTCTTCTTCACTGTATTGTCAGGTGGATTTTAATAAATAAATAGCCTTCTGCAGGGACACTGAGAATACATTAAAGAAAAAAGTGTACAAGTGCTTTTTGCTGTCTTTGCCGCTTTTGTCTAGGATCCTGATTTTAACAGCAGAAACACTAACATGTTTTTCTTTGATGTGCATGCTGGGATTGAGGGAAGATGCTTCTGTTGTCGTCAACAGGAACCAGTCAAAAAGATATTTTAATGTTCTTTTCAGTCGTACTTAATGGGATCGTTCAACCAAAACTGAAAATTCTGTCATTATTTACTCACCCTCTGTTGTTTCAAAACTGTATAACATAGGGCTGGGCGATTAATTGAAAAAGTAATCGAAAACGAAATTTATACGAAATTACATAACTGATGTAATTTCCCCTCTTTCGTTATTTCGTTTTTTAAATCATGTTAATACATTCCCCAGGATTGCCAGGTCCACGAAACAAAACAAGCCTGATTGCTGTTCAAAACTAGCCCAAAACTAGCCCAATAGCGTTTTTTCCTGGAGTTTTCCCCTCCATCAAAATCACGGTTTGGGTGATCGCTTTAATTAAAACATGGACTAAAAACAACCCACGGCAGTAGCCCAAATTAGCAACCCTGATTTTTCCCTTAAAAGCATACTACCGTGTTGGCGCCAATAGCCTCATGGTTAGTGTGTCGACATGTAGCGCAACTGCGCTCACGGCGACCCGAGTTCGATTCCCATCTGGAGGTCCTTTTTGCCGATTCCACTCCCTCTCTCCTCCCAGTGCTTTCCTGTCATCTATCTCTACTGTCCTATCTATTAAAATGCATAAAAGCCCATAAAAATATCTTTAAAAAAAAAAAAAAAAACACTACCGCATGTGTAGCCATGTGACTCTGTCCAGTCAGTGGCATGGAAGCAACATAGAACTCTAACACAGTCGTCTGAGCAACCGGATGTGCTTTTTAGATTTTTTTAATGTGAAAATATCCATTTTACATTCAAACTGAAATTTCACTTTTATCGTAAGACGCTTTCATTTGAAGACATGTGTGCTTTGATTTCAATTGTTCAAAATATTCAGTAAATAACCATAAATAGTTATTTAGAAATCCTTCAATTATTTTAAAATCACAAAGATAAGAAATGCATTCTTTCATTAGAAAACAATACCCCACCTTTAATAGTTGAGCATATTTACAGTACAAACTAGGATTTAGGGCTGGGCGATATGGCCTAAAAAAAATCCCCGATTTTTTCACAAAAAATGGGCGGAGCCCAGAGGGGAGCGTCGGCGGATGTTAAAGAGAAAACCGATTTTCATTCAAACAAATCAACGTAAACTACACATTCGAGTTAATCGATAAAATTGATTTATCGCCCAGCCCTACTAGGGTTGTAACGATATACCGGTATGCTGGTTTATCACGGTTTGAACGTGCACGGTTATCATACCGTAAACATTTGCATATCTACGGTTTTTTTTTTTTTTTAAATGAATGAAAAAAATCTCACCCGCACATATGCAGTTTATTTCTGCTCTGCTGTTTCACTCTGCATTTACTTGGCTGCTTACACGCACGTGCAGCGGAGAAAATGACAGAGACGGAGATTATGTCTAATCTCCATCCCCGCTGAAAAAAAGGGAAAAAATCAGCTGTATGGGAATACTTTGGATATTAAAAATACGAACGCGGGGTTGTCCTTGAGGACAGATCCAATTTGCAAAAAATGTGGACACAAAGTGGCTGCAAAAGCAGGGAATACATCCAACATCTTCGCATCCAACACCATCCCTCCATGCAGATAAAGGTGTGTCACATTTATAAAAAGTTATAAATTAAGGCTGTATGGTTTTCGTGATGCAGAGGGAATCCTGGTGCAGTCGTGAACACGGAAATTACAGTATAACGAGGATGTCACGTAAAACGTGCAATCTGATGGATGGATAAATCAAAAGTAAATATGATCTGTGTCTGTGAATATTAAAGTGCGAAGAGACTGCTATATAAATAATTGCTTGTTTCTGCATGTCTCTGAGTGGCGCGGTTTTATCTACTACATACTGAAGTACGCATAATGGTGTTTTCAGCGTCTACATAAACATGAACATCACCAGAGCTGCTCTGAGAGAAAACTTAAACATTTCCTAGTTTTATTTGAGAAAAAACATTGTCAAATACACTCTGAAACTCAAAGGTCCGCTACAACCCGTCAAAATAAGTTCGATTTCATTTGAAATTATGACAGAAATATATTAGCATTGTTCAATGTACTTCAATGTTATAATAACAACAATAATAATATTCTTTATAATTAATTTATTTAAACATTATTTTTAAGGAATATCATGTTTGTCCATGTTTTAACTTAGTATAGCCTACCTCTGTTGTGCAGAATTTTTCATTTAAGTTGTTAAATTTTCATTTGATAACATTTTAAAACATTAATTAAAATGTTAAAGTGATATAGATATACATAAGGTGTACAGCTTTATTTAAAAAATTTTTTTTTTTTAATGAAATAAATTTTTTTCATAAGGGAGACTTCAATACTTTCATTAAAATGGTTTCAAGTTTGTTGTAATAAAGGATTTGTTCACTCAAATAACTTGTTCTTATTCTTTTAATAAGAGTCATTGTTACTGATAAGAATTGTTTAATATACCGTGATACCATGAAACCGTGATATTTTCTTAGACGATGATCATACCGTGAAAATCTCATACCGTTACAACCCTAGTACAAACCTTGTCAATGAACTATAAATAAATAAATAAATGAAATAATCGTTCATTAATCGTTATTGAGGTAAAATGTTCAGTTAATCAAGATTTAGATTTTCCAACCCTATTATAACGTTTTCCAGCCCTAGTATAAAGTTCCTCCTCCAGAACTCAAAAGGAGATGTTATTAAGAATATTTCAGTTGCATTGTCCATATAATAAAAGTCATTGGGGTCCAAAACAACATTGAACTCCACTGACTTTCATTGTGTTGCCATGGGAATTTTTCAAAATATGTTTTTTGTGTTGCGCATAAAAATGTTCTGCATATTTGGAATCATGAAAGAATAACAGAATTTTCATTTTTGGTCAGACTGACTCTTTAACGGTTCTCCAGTGTAATAATTACCACAACACTACTGAACAAGGTCATATGAGCGATTGTATGTAAAAGATTTTTCTGCATTATTACTCCGCTATCAGATGAATGTTTTTGGGTAACCATGTAATGTGGTGAAAGGGACAGATTGCAACCATTTTAAAGTTTATTAGTATGTTCATAAATTGGATGGTTGCCAGTAGTGCTGGGCGGTATACCGGTTCATACCGATTACCGGTGTTTATTTTTGTTATGATATGAATTTTTAAAATACCGCAATACCGGTGTATGTCACTTAAACAACGTTCGGAATGCGACACTGTTTGAAAGGGGTCCCTTTTCACTAGTGCACTGTGGTGAGTGAACAGCTGTATGTGTTACTAAGCGTGAAAGTTCCAAAACTGAAGCTGTAGAACTAATAGAACGTGATGACACAGAAGAACTCATCCACAAAAACTATTAAACGTTGCAATAAATGAGTACAAAACAGTGTTTCCTAGCAACTGTCGCTTACTGATTGTTTGGCATTATAAATATGAGCGTAGTTCGTCTGTTAATATCACATGCACTTACTCAGCGTTTGTTTGTTGTTTTTGTTTGTTGTTTTTTTTTGTTTGTTATTCAGACGCAGGCAGTGCGCTGCATGAGACAAAACGTAATATAGCCAAAACAACCGCATAGCCGCTCTTTAGTGTAGATGCATGTTGATTTTATCAGACGATTATAAATGAGTGACTCCTGGTTAACATGTATTAAAAGGGGTCGTGTTTAGTCACTATTTAGTGTGGTATTTTTTGACAATATTCACTCATCATGACAGTAAAATAGGGCATTCTAAGTCAATATACTGCAGTATTTCCTCTCTCAATCAGTAGAAAATATGGTCAACACCCGGTCATGCATGAAAAAAAAAATACCGTCATGTACCGTGAAACCGGTATAATTTAGAAAAAT